CTAAAGCATCCAAAATACATTATATTTCGATTTTTTTAAATTACATGTGTTTGGAGACTAAAATGGAAGACATTCGACCAATTGAAAGTCTCCAACACTTAAACACAGCATTGTTTTCAACAAAGTGAGAAGTTCATTACATAATCATAATAAGCTTTTAATTATTTCAGAATCTATGGCATGTCAATATGTATGCACTTTGGGTGCTGCAACACAAAATCTATTTTAAATTGATATAATTGTCTGTAAATCTACCAAATGACCGTAGATTAAATGAAAAGTGATCATTATTGTTTCTTAACTAATCTGTAATTAGCGAATAACTCGGAGTTGCGTAAAGTACTCCACTTTTCTGAATGTTGGCCCAGTAACTGTAACTCGTGTTTCCGTCAAGGACAAATGTTGTAAGAACAATAGTCGAATTAGTCGTAGTCTTTTCAGTTAGATAAATGAAACTACGTGTATTTGCCTAATAGCTTGGAAATTATGTGATTTGGAACACCGGATATCGCCTTTGATTGCTACTCTCGATTGAATTGCAAAGTTCGGAATTGGTTTTGGCATATGAAGGGTAACTCGCTGTTAAATCTAGATTGTGAATGTATGCAAATTACAGGTACTATATTAGCAAAGTTGAAGCTAATTACGAGAGGAATATATATTGCAGTCTGCTGTTAAGAAAATTTCCTTTACTATTGAAAACTGCAGGCGTTTATTGTGACGCGCTATTCTAATGTACACTTGGGCCAGTTCGTCCCTGTACATCAAAAACTCACTGGTTCTGATGCTACGACTATTTGATCAATAGGGTTACAACATTGCCAGTTCTAACCTTTAACAGTTCAAAAGTTATTAACTAATGCATATCAGTCATACTTCGGCAATTAGGTTCTGCCTTCACAGCTGCTTCAGAGTGAAAAAAATTGATACACTGTTATTAGGATACCAAAATGTTTGAATAACAAGCAGTCTACTAAACTTTCATACTCACATGTGTCGTGGAATTTTCTAGAACTCGTGATGAGATCTAAATGGCTATTCATATAGGCAAATGTCTAAACGTCCAGCTCTACTAATTTTTCTCATTTGGCCCCGAAATAATTTATCGGTAGTTAGGTGTGGTTGCGCCTAACCATGGTGGCAACTTCAGGACCATGAAATTTCATAACTGACGGATGCGCATTTTTCAGGTATTCTGGGCTGGTATTCTGGTTCTTCAAAACATACAGTATTCTCAAGCCGTTTTGGACAACCAGAAATAGATCGTGGTAATAAAGGGCATCCTATGCAGTGTTAAAGCTGATACCGTGGTATTTCGCCTGTTTTAACATTTTTACCTTTTACCATCTTTATCTATGAAACTAAACTTGACTTTGTTGATTTCATATTAATATTTGGCTGATATAAGGATCATTGAATTAACTTAGTGATAGCGTTCTAGATTAACAATATGTATAAATTATATTTGTATTCAACGGTACATCGGTAGACCCGTGTTTAACAACTAAGCCTACAACCAATCCTATATTAACTGCACGGAAAAGGTGCATAGAAAAATTAATATTTCAGTATATGTGTATGGCATTGAAGGAGTGCCAATCTTATCTTATCTCATTAGATTAACTATATAGTAATAAAGTTCAGTTACACTCAAACGTCTACCATCCCAGTACATTCCGCGAAAAGGTGAGCAATGTTCAATTCTATGTCCTTTTTCTACTTTTTACTACTTAAACTTGATACACAGACTATTGTGTTCGATATGCTTAAGTTGAAAAATGGCGCCAAGTAGACTATAACTGTACCTCTCATGACTTCGAAACAATTTCTAGTACCATTTTCCATGTAGTGCAATGTCATCAAAAAACCTATGTTTTGTCACCATTAGTGCTCTACTTAGGCTTCTCACGAATAGAAATTTTCTCGGATTGCAGCAACAAGTATGTCCGAAGACGGTAGACTCATTTCTTTGAAGCTCTGGTCTAAAACTGTTTAGCAACAATGTTTATTAACTGATTATAACAGCTCTTGATTCGTATTTATATAGGATATATACTATACCATACTCGTATGACATTACCTCAAGAAATCAAGTAACCTCTTTATTTGCACTCGAAGATTAATGCTCGAATATATAGATAATATCGCGGCCACCTCGTATGTGCATATTGCGTCACCGCGCTGTTTCGTACCTGCTTTTACAAGCCTCTCGGATCCACTACCAAAGATGCAACATTTACAACAACGTGGCGCAGCAAAAGTGCGATCTGCTGAAAATATTTTGCTGTTTTAACGGCATATGCACGAGGGGTGTGTAGAGTTACCGGGGTTGTAAGTGTATTGATAAAGTTACATCAAAAAATCCCGATGTACTCTCCCTCACTCCTCTACAGCCCCCATCCCCCATCCTCTTACCCTACAAGTTTTACGAAAAATGATCACTATACTTTCAAACGTCAAATGACGAGGATTTGCTCATTTTTATTTTTTTGGCTTTCTGCATTTTTATTCACCGCCACTGGACCGATTTTCGAAATCTACAAAGCTCTTTCGTCCTGGCACACTAATAACCTTGTGCAAAATTTTCATCCAATTCCGAAAGGTACTTTCCTAGTTATCGCGGTCTCAATGATTAGCGGACAGACAGACGGACGGAAGGACAGAGAGACAGACACAAGCAGACAGACGGACCGACGAAAATGAGTGACATGGTTTTCGTGATGTACATGTCCAAAAGCGTAATATAATAATTTTGACACTTTCTTTGTATACCTAAAGAAGGTCACGATTGGGACAAAAACGTTCAACATTAAAGAAGAATTTTTTACATATGTCGAGTAATTCTGCCAGAAAAACATGGGGGATTAGGTATACGTATGTTACACTGACAATGTGCTTGACTTTGCAAAAAAGGCTACAACATCCCAATAGTTATTTAGTAACAGAGACCAAACAAATTTATTTATTTATACATACTTACCCAACTGACTAACCTAATTACAGGGCAATATGCTGCTGAGTACCGTAATTAACAGTGTGTACACAACAACTTTAACATAAGCAAAAAAAAATAGATAGAATAGCACTGTCACAAAATCATACGAATACAAACAAAATTGATAGATATAATTGAAACTATATGTAGATTATAATGGCGAAAGTATGTTACTATGGGGATGCTTAAGGTAAAAAGTAAGAGTTCAAGTTCAACCAGGGTGTACAAAAATTTTATAACTGAAGATAATCTATACCCTATTTCACGAGTATCCATCACGGTAGAATATTAGCTGATTATCTAGAACTATCTAAAAATTCCCCATATCGGCAGAGAACACATAATTCTGACGGATCCCTCAATGTCAGGTAGTCAGAGCCATATTTGTTTTGTTTTTTTTTGTTGTACGCTGCAGTTTCATTTTGTATCTGCTAACAGCTCTTTTATTTTGAAAAGTTCATTAGCTTACAAAAAACAAAACGCTAGAAACACGTTTGACTAGATTTACCCCCAATTCATTATTGCCAACGTCGCAGACTAACACAAAAATGTCACTTGCTGATCAGCTGCTCACCTCAGTAAACGTCAAAGCATGATGAATACTCGTGGAATAGAGTATAATGCATCCACTTTATTATACAATAGCATAACTAAATTTGAGCAGATTTCACCAACTAGGAATTTATGCATTGTATTCAACTCCTCACACAAATAATAACCAGAACTTTTTTTAAAGCTCAACGCCATACATACGTTTTTTCTCCATAAAATTATTCGAGAAATCATGTCCTGGAATATCAGAACGTCAATAAGAGAAACACGGTATATAGCGAAACCCAATTTGTCTGATGGCTTGACTTCAATGTGCACGAGAGAGAAACGCGAGAAGTGTGTATCAACATGTTAGAAAGATATAGAAGCCGGCTGAAGAGCAAAGGTCATCATCACATTGCTTAGCAACGGTGACTCAGAAGGTCATGCAATCTGCTGCGTTGCCAATATGTTACACCAGAAAATGTTCGCACATGCTTCTATAATGGGTTAGGTTACTGTCAAGCCCAAGAAGGAGGTCTGTTTGAACGTTTAATTTTACATTGTTTTGAAATATTTTAATTTCTTTTAGAATTATCTTTGATCTCCACCGATGGAGATTGCCGCATCAGCGTTGCTTTCAACGCGGTGATAAGCTTCGCTATACTCGTACAGTTGGCTTCTATTTCTTTCTGACATGTGTGTATACACGCGTCTCTCTCGTACCCACTGAACTCAAGCCGTCAGACAAATTTGGTCATCACAAATTCGGCAGCATTGCATCATTGGTTCATTTGACAACACCGCATCTTGTACATTCCAAGGCAAGGTTTCCACCTCAATGATCATGTTCGAGTAATTTTGGTCAGAACTCATCTAGCGCTCGTGGGCGATTGTCGTCCTGCTTCGAAATGGATTTCACGTGTGCACACGCAGGCAGTGTTAATTTTTATTGCGTAACGTTATTTGTTACATTTTAAAATCGCAGTGCTCTCGCAAAATGTAACAATATCAAAGATAATTCTAAAATAAATGCATTTTCGCATCAAAATTGAAATATATAATTCTAATCAAAATGAAAACCAAATATTGAATTAAATGTTCGAACCGACCTCCTCCTTGGGTTTGACACTAACCTAACCTATTGTAGAGGCCTGTGCGAACATTTTCTGGTGTAACATATTGGCCACGCGGCAGATTGCACGACCTCCTACGTCACCGCCGCTAGGCAATGTGGTGATGACCTTCGCTCTTCAGCCGGCTTCTATTTCTTTTTCACATGTGTTGAGACACACCTCTCGCGCTTCTCTCTCGTACATATTGAGCTCAAGCCGAAAAATTTGGTGTTCCCTGTATGCTTACCAGCTTCGACGTGCTGTCCAAAAGTTGCATAAACTAAACAGGTTTAATGCGATCTGTTTGCTTTCAATCTCTATAGCCAACCATATATGTACAACGTTGTTTTATTCTGTTTAGCAAACATCAGTACGGTTTTAGGTCTAGACGGAAAATGAACAGATCCTATTTGGCCATTTTGGAATGATCAACGTTGTCTGACGAGTTAGCGTAGGTTGAAATATATGATCTGCATTTCGTAGTAGGTACATGGGATTCCAGACCGCTAATAATATTTTTCACTGGATTTCAGCACAGAGGCTGACGCCATGAGCGATAATGCAAGAAACGACAACGATAATGTTCCTGAGGACCAGGAGACCAAAGAAGAAGAAAAAGCGCAAGATGGCACAGGTAGTGCTCAAAAATCGAGAACAAAAAGGGCAGTCGTGGATGTACCTCAAAGAGTGAATGTGGGAGTTGATGGACAGGAAGAACAAGAATTCTAATAAAATCAATACCATTATGATTAAGCCGCTTTATGATCATACACTTACGTGTAATTATGACTTTTACTATCAATAAACCATGCCGTTATTCGGACGCACTTACACAATGTCCATAATAATAATAAAGGTACTTAGTCAAAGCTATGTAAGCCGGCTATGATTTTAAAGTGTGCTGACCGATGATGGAGGTGAAGTCAAAAATGTTGACGAAGAAGTGAGGTGGTACATTGCGTAGCAAATCAATTTCATGTGCTGCGCATAGGATTCCTCTATCGTGTGTACACTGCAGGTGAAAAAGAAGTTCAGGTTCTGCGCAGGTGGCATTTCTCTCTTTCTCTGTTGCTGCCATCATAACTGGAAACAACTGTGATCTTGACAGGTTGCACGAGTTGCAAGCACAAACATTGGATAACATTAATGAACCACGAAGTAATAAACCTACAAAGCATATGTTGACAATTTCCAATGCGTAGGCACTCTGCACGATGTTCTACGCGACTAGAATACGGAAAGCTACACCAACCTTGGCGACAGAATTTGCTACATACGATGACATGCACCTTTACGCAATTTAACCTCATATCTGTAGTCTTCGTGGATGTAAAATGTCAACTTTTAGGCTTTTGCGAATGGGAATATCTACTGCAAATATTCGCGAATGCGTTATTCACCACATCAAAATATTCTTGAGGGAGACAAAACTATGAAGCTTTTATTTTTGAAGTTTCTTTTTCTCTAGTTCATATCATTCTATATTATTAGATTCCTCTTCAAAAGAATAAAAAGAAATCAAGTAAGTACCTAGTTTGTGAAAAAAACATTCCATTTCCACATAAGTTTGAGGAAAGAATTGCTTTTATTTGCATTTTTATTTATTAGACATTTATAATCAAAGACGACAAAAGTAAAAAGGGATATGTTTATTTGAAGTTTCTCCATAATCATTGCTACATTCGTTTTAAGCACAGTCTCACCTCAGCTTGCTCAGTTTTTTACACGTTCTTTTTACCGAAACTCACTAACTAACCCCAACTGAGCGTGATCTTATTTTCTCTTTTGAAGCGTTTAAGTTTGTGTTGCTTACGTGCACAATCCACCGAATTAAAACTGTATTATTACTAATTTATACTTATACTTATAATAATAATGCGTCGATCCATGTTAGTAAACTACAAAAATGTTCAGTCCTAAGTATAGCCCGATGAGAAATTAAAAAATGTGATTTTTTAGGTTGTCCTGAACAAGGTTAGCTCAGCTGTTCTTTTTGGACTTTAAAATGAGCCAAACATGAACTGATTTGAAAGTCTCATTTCTGTTTGGACTGTCTTACGTTACGAACAAAACGAACAAAACTTTTTTCTAATGAGAAATACCTAATTGTTTATAACACCATGCAAAAATACATGTGAAGAATAACGTTTTTGTTTGTATCGTATATGCTTGTCTATCAAAAAAGAAATTATTGATATTTCTTGTTTTATTAAAGTACCTAATATTACTTGCTCGAATTTCGTGAATCCGGATGCAAATGCAATAAGAATCATGCTAATTCGCGAATATTCCTTACATCGTGGTGTATATCAACTTTGGGGTATGTCAACTTTAAAGATCCCGTTATATTGCTGCTTATTGATAACTACCAATGAATTTGAATAGGTTAGGAGCCAAGCATAAGGGGTGTCCCAATATTCCGTGGGTATAGAAGTACTACGTATTATTAGACTCAAAATAACTCGATTGGACATGATTTGCTTCTGTACAAAAGTACTGCGTTTGTTCGTTAGAGGACTTAACATTTTTCATTTTAAAGCACATTTCATAGAACAATGAATAAAAACACGAAGTTATTAAAAAATGCTGATGCTTCAACTAACTTTTTTCTTGCGATAATATAGGATACCCTATACCCTTAACTCCACCTTTTTTTAAATTAAGACAGACGGTTTACACCAACAGCATTTTCTCTCATTAACGTGATTCATCACAACACAACAGATATAAAACAAATTAATTATGAAGGAGAAGTAGGTTAAATGAAATTATAAATTACTATTAAATACTACATGACATAGAAATGTAGACTTTTCAATGAATTCGTGTAATTACACGTAACCGAAAATGGAAGAAAAGCATTGAGATGTTAATGTTATTACTAACCTCACCTACAAACTTCAATACTTCATTCCATTTGTCTTGAAAACTATTAACGTGCCGCTCAAGTAGAACCCCGCGGAAGAATCTCGGTTCCTTGTCCCTCAATAAGCAAGGTTCAAGTGGATTAGGAAGTAGCCACTCTGACACACACATGCGACTACCAAGAGATTTATGTAGATAGAGATGCCAACGTAATGTTTGTTATACTACAAATATCGATATAATAGTTTGGGCATCGTTATTTTATATGTAAATGAAATATTGGGCCACCTTTGTTACTTTATTCCTGAATACTAATGGACTCGCGATTACTTGAGTAGCTATATTTGGGACATTTTGTTTTCCCCGTTAATTGGTGAGGAAGTAATCTGATGGTAACAATTTTAAAATTTGGAAGCTAAATCAGACGCACATGATGAAAAACCATGCTTCTCATTTACGTCGGTCCTGAAATCCTGGACCCCTCTATAACCAGGAAGATATGGATTGTGAATATTTTATAAAAGGTTTTACTTGCATATCAAGGATAAGAAAGGATTAGAGGTTTGAAAATTCTAGTGACAGGAAAAGTCGTAAGCAAAAAGATCAAACATTCTATAATGTCATCAAAATTGGTTTGATATTTTTCGAGTCAGCAAAACAGAGACGTTAAACTGTTTCAAAATGCAAAACATCGTTTTTTTAGCATCCTGTTCTGTTTGAGGCGTAGCCATTTTTGTGTAATTAGAGTTTGCATGTGCCTAAAATTTTGAATACACAGCGTGGTAAGTACTGGAGTCAATCTATTGGATTCCGTTCTTTCATATACATCCAGCATATTGTGATGGAATTCGATGGTTCACAAGAGCATGTAACATGTACGTATATAGAATCAAAACTACTTTACTGACAAGGCCACAACCTGAACAGAATGTTCTGCACTTTTTTCTTAACAAGTCTCCCGATGACTGTACTACGAGTAAACCATTATTCCACATAACCCAAGGGTACCGTGAAAACAAACATGGAATGAACTCGCGAATGCTTGAGCGGAAAACAATGAAGATCTGGTGGTAATAAAAATGTCAATATGATGCCCATATAAAAACAAGAAATCTTCAAATCAGACAGTATCCCACGGTAAACGTATACGCATCAGATACCTAAGCTATGGATTCCAAAAGTGAGAAAAAGCCCAACGACGGTGACTCTGGAAACGCTAGTGAGGAGAGAAACGATCCTGACGCAATAAGACCGAAAAGGACCGCTTTGGATGTTCCAGAGCGGACAAACATTGGTCCTGACGGGCTGGAAGAAGAGGAGTTCCAGTGAACGGTATGGAGATGTAGCGAATTAAGAATGGACATTGTAGTCAGTATTTAATGTTCTTTGGGTGAGTGTATTATTCTATGTGTCCACTTCTCTATGTAGAAACCAAGTTCCTCTATAAACATAATATGCTTTTTTGAATGATCAGAAACATGAGAAACTAACTACAATTTTGACCTACCAAAAAACTATACGGAAACGCGGAGTCCAAATGAAAGTAATGTAGGATTTTTGATGACTTAGAAGTTGTTGCTATTTGTGGACTAGTTCCGAGTCTAACAACATCTTCCATAAAAGAAATTGCTCTTAGAGTACTGTGCAAGGGGATAACAAAAATATCTTATTAAGTACTTCATCATACTATGTCGACTATGTAGTGGTTTAGGAGATATGCATACCAAAATTAATTATTATAGTGATGCTAGGTGCTAATGAAAATGATCTATCGATAAGAATACGCGCTTACAGAAAAGTAACAACAATCGTCAGCCATTTTCAAAAGAAAGCAACGAAAAGTAAAATATATACTCGTATAAACTTAAAAATCATTCAAAGCGTTCTGTTTCGGCAAGTACCTTTGGTGAAAAATCTAGCGAGTAGAAAAGCATAGAAAAACCGAGCACTACTTTTCGAGGATGTGCTACATTCAATTGAGTAAGGAGTTGATTCTAAAACGCCCTACACACACAACGATTTTTCGTACTGCATGCAGTACAACATTGGTCCAAACTGCTGCAGTAACGATAAATCGTGACGTGCGTAGGCAAATTGGATGCTTCGCAGTACACAGTATTTGAATCCTTCGCAGTATAGAGCTTCCATAAAATATCTCATCAACGGTCGTGTTTGAACTAAGGTTGGAACGCAAGTTGGAACGTGTGTAGGGCCGCCACTATGGCAGTTACGATTTTTATTTAAGCCAGCAACGAGATATATGTATCCGAATCCATCCTTAAATGGTTTTTAAAGCCAATTGGTTATTTTTTTTTCAAGTTCTTTAAATAACCTCATATGGGAATATTTGTCTCTATCCAACAACCACTGTTAACACCATTTTCTCTTTTTCGCTGGTTTCTCATCATCTTCTCAAATTAATAAAATCGCAACTATAAAAGCTGCTGTTTTTCTTTTTGAAATTCGTGAAGACATAACCACAATTGTTTTCGTTAACAACTAGATTATTATGAGCAACACTGTTCTATTTACTATAACTACAATACACTGCAGTTCATGCCTCAATTTAAATTGTGAATTCAGACCAGCCAAATTTATTTCAGTATACAAAACCGAACAAAATTATTTTTTGGAGTTACAAAATTATTCGAGTAGTCAAAGCAATAATCCCTAAGCTATTTCAAATGATTTACTTCTTTTCTTTGCTCTATTTCTTCCTTCCTTCCTTTCCTTCATTCCCTTTTCCCCTTAAACATTTGTTTGGTATCTGGGTAGCCAGACCTGACAGACTAACAGACCGACGAGACTTTTAACTAAGAGCAAAGGTCTACCGGACCGCTCTGACGAACAATGACGAATAGTAGTATGCCACAATTTGATGATCTGCTGCAGCACGATGTATTGCACTGTGTACAGGGAAAATTGCAGTACTGCAAGCAGGACAATTTTTGATACTACCTACGGTTCAATAAGCAGTACGATAAATCCTTACGTGTGTAGGTCGCTTAAGGCTGAAGACATAGTGGAGCACCGAAATCAATTGCGTAAAATCAAATGCAAGCGTACATAGTAACGAGACGAGTAAGAGTGAGTTTATCGAGCGGAGAGATCGACTCAAAATATTTTGTTTTCGCTACTTTGTCGCTCTGCAATTTTAAAGATGGGTTGTCAAAAGTTGATCGATTTTGTGTTTGTGAGTGAAAACCACCATAATCGGTATATTTAGAATAAATTGTGGGATGAGGTGTCAAAAGAAATAAATTGTACACGCTTTGTTTGTTTCCTTAATATTTATTTAGCATGACTGCTACAAACACATTACTATTAAAAAACTAAACAATTTCATAACATACAGATATTTAGAAAAAGCAAAATTATTTTAGTAGTAGATAGTATATTCAATTTATTTAAATAGTCACTCCTATTCTTATGTTCGAAAATGTTAGAGCCTTTAAGATAAGTAAGAACTTGAATTATGTTATTACACCGATAATTCTTATTATGTTATTACACAGATAATTCTTAAACATTTCCCTAATATCAACTGCATTGTTTGCCGGACTGTTACTAGCGCGGTTTGTTCCTATTTCTAACATGTTGTTTTCCTGAAAATAATTTATCAACTAAAAATCAATTCCTTCAATGCACTTAACAATTAAGTCCGCAAATTCTGGAGCTGTCATTTGGCATTCTTAATTCCAAAGGCCTGTTCTACTAATCTACGTGAAAGTCGCATGTTAAATATATTCTATTTCTTGATTTAGTTGTTGACGGCTATAGGGTTTGAATAGATGTCTCAAAGGATATGCCTCATCGTGGTCGAAAACGAAAAACATTTGAATTTCTGTATTAGGAAGAGGGACTATCCTCAGGAAGGTGAAGTATACCGTCTTGCATTAATTGCCAATACCATAGTTTAGATGTATTACTATCCATAACTTTAGATGCCCTTAACATAATTAGAAAATACTTTGGTCGTACTCGCACTAAACCTGGATAGTCGCGTTTTATTATGTCGCTTTACTATACGTTCACGACGCGAAGCTAAAACGGCGCGATGTCGCGCTGTTTGCTCGTCGCTATCCTCGGCGCTCCACTATGTTTTTAGCTAAGACGATTTCGATATTTTTTGGAATCATAAAAGCAATGTTTAAGACTTCTTTGAATGGAACAACACCTTTCATAAGAGTCACACCGTTACGAAAACATCTTTTTACGGTCCCTTTTGTGCTTTACGATATTTAACATTGACTGCATGAAAAAAAATGTAGATTCTAAATGAAATCCCAGTTAACTTGATACAGTTATATATGTATTTGAGTGTTTACATACGTTCTTATTAAATTGATTCATCCAATTTGCATTAATGTACGTGAGATATTTTGTTGTTGTTCTCAAGTTTGACCCAAAACAATTAGTACCTACAGAGTTATGTATATTTCGGATATCGCAAAAGTTGTTTATGTTCGCCGTTCTAGAATATAAACTATTACAAATAAAACACGTACCATGGCCTCGAGTACACTTAGTACAACTATATAAAGTTAATAGCACTGAGGAAGCAAAACTTCAGATAAAGCACAACCATAAGCAGTCAGACTGTCCGTTGTTTTACACCATCACTGGTCACCTTTTTCTCCCGATGAATCGCCTTCAACTCCCGCGTTGGCTCTCAAATGTGCGTCAACGATGTTTTTCAGTTTCCCATCTTCTTCTTCCCCTTTGATCTCGATAGGCTCATTCCTAAAGGCATCGCCCCTTTTCTGAACTCCCTCTGGCGCTCTCGGGACGTCCTGGTCCAAGTTATAGCTCTTTTTCTGCGAGTTACCCATCGCTTCAGCACTTCCTTTTCTCTCGAATTAGAGCGAATGATAAAAGTTTACGGCAACAGACGTGGTAGATGATAACAAGTGCAAATATTACGAAATTTTATTGTTCTGATATTAGATCCATAAATAGCGGTTATTCGCCGTTAAAACAATGGCGGACGCGTGTTACCTTTAAAAGGGATTTCGTAGTTCAAAAATGTGTTTATAGTTGCAGGCGTAGGCTAGATTTGAAGAGAGATAAGACGAACCCTTATCGTTTTTCATTTCAAAATTCTTGAAAATAGTCAATATACAGGGTGTCCCGAAATTGAAGGATAACTCTGCAACTGTAGATAGGTCATGGCCTACTGGGTGGTAAAATTTTGTTTTATTAAAAGTCTCAAAGTTTTCGAGGTTTTTAGCATTCAATTTTTTGTTATTTGTATAACTGGCTTATATTCAGTTAATCCTGTGCAATTTACTACAAATATAAACTTTTTTGAACCAGGTTTATTTCAAAACACTCAGAATTAAGCATTTTATGTCGTCCAGCATTATTTTCCCTTGAGGTGGCGAAAAACTCACCTAAAAGTCATGCCAAAATTTGAATTTTTATTAAAACCTCATCTCACGTCTGACTTTGAGACCCTGTAGAGTGAGCGGATCAAGTACGATCACTGTGCCAATTTGTCGAAAAAGTTGGCCAAATATTGACATTTTTTTAATAATATGTTTGTTGTTCGCCCTTTGCTTTTTTTCGTTTTATTGCAGTAATATTGGATGAGGGTCAGTTTTCGTATATATCAGAAAATAACAGTGTATGGTTTGGATACAAAAAAATGGACAGGATTGATGTTGAGCGACATTAGATTTGATATATTAGTTGACCCTTTGCATGACCCACATTTTGTCATAAAACATTTTTTAACCTACAAAAAATAACGGCTCAAATGGTCGAGGTGGTTTCAATATTGGAACAAATTCTGTTACTGTGGCCAGCACAGCTTGGTATACAAATTCTTTAAAGCAACCTTAATAAAAAATTTTGTGGATTTGGGTCCAACGATCCTGTTAGAAATGAAAATAAAGCCACACAGCCTGATCCACCTTTATGAGTGTTGTATCTTTGTAATTGAAGTGGTCTCGAGTGATCTCGAGTGTGATGTGTCAAAGTATTACTGAGCATTAGTATGTTGCAGTAGATCTTAATAAGAATATTTTGATTGACGAGAATTAACAAACGCAAATAAATGCTAGCAGAAGCAGATCTGATAAATTGTTCTTAAGTTTTGTAAATTTTAAAAGTAGTTGTTTAGTAGTTTTGAGTTTTATAGTTATTTTCTCGCTAGTATTCTAAAGTTAGAGTACGAAAACCGCAGGTTTATCAACTTCCGGGCCAAATATTTCATAACTGCGATAGTAGACCATTTCCAAATTTTTAGTTAACGCTTTAGTGCCCCTCAAGTATTGCGTGATCAGTTTTTAAATTTTACTATACAGTTTCTGATGACAATTAAAATAATGCGACAACATACCACGTTTTTCATAAGAACCCAGTATGTAAACCTTGTATGAATCAGCTCAGGAACCAGGAACTAAGCAATAGATTTCATTCAAACTTCTCGGAAGTACATATGTGCCAATACAATGCCTTAAATAAGATTATCTTCAGTAAGAAGATCAGAGACTTGCATTATTTCTGGAGGTAGACGTTTTGAGCAGTTTTTCGTAGATTAGGAAGACTCACATTTCATTTGCGTTAGTAGAAGTTTGAGATTCACTGTCACCGCCTTAACAAAAATATATACTCGTATTACAACAGGTAGTATCATTCGAGGTTGTCACATTTGTTCATCAGTCCGTCTCCTGGTCTTTCATCAGTTTGTGTACCTATCGATTTTATTAATACTGCAGGAGTTATTAAATGTAGATGGTAGAATCTATGCACATGAAGGTGGCTGAAATTATATGCAATAGAAAAAAGAAAATGTAACATTTCGTATCTCATGAACCAAAAAAATGAAACCCATCCTCAATTTTCAACCTGTGGGTGTTTATGTTTAGGATTCAGTGGATGCACAAATTTATCTGTCAGCCATTTCATTCATCACGAAAATGCTCATTTGGATCTAAAAGAATGATACAGCTTCTTGGACAGATTGCGGTATCTGTTTCTGTCAATCTATCATTCTAAACAAAGTCTAAAATCAAAGTACACATTTTCATAAAAAGTATGGTAATGATCATTTTTCGCTTAACATTTCTGTGTAAAGTATGGTTATGAACACTTCTGTCGAATATTCAACACCTGAGCGTGACAGGTACTTCAATAGTTCTGGACGCAGATTATCGTCCCAGAGTCATACTAGCCCTTGGAAAAAGAGGCAGATCTCGGGATAGGTGATTGGATTTTATTTTTTCTCAATCTTAAACACCGTGTTATATCGGGGCATAAGCGCGAGTAGGTCAGAAATCAGCACGAACTACAAAGTTGGTTCATCTACGATATCTGAATATAAGTTTATTCAGTGACAAGACAATGTCGGGTCACATCCTCCGCACTGCTTTGCAGTCGGTAAAGTACCATTGCCAATTCATTGACTTTAGAATTACTTGAAACATTTACAAATGTACCATAAAAATAAAGATGACTATTATCATATCCACAAACCATCAAATAATTGCATCATACAAAGGGGAATCTTTATCTCAAGTTATGTGTACATAAACCGATGATCGTCAAAATTTCACATAGATTGGGATTTTTTTTATATAAAAACAAGCTGATTGAGATACCATTACTCATATACACAATGGAACAGAACGCGGAAGTTAGTAATCATAGAGACAGTGATTACAGTGATGTCCAAGAATGTAAGAATAAAGCTGTCCCAACAGAAGACACGGAAAAGTGCACATCTCCGAAGACAAATGTGCGAATCAACAAAAATCCAGTAAACATAGCAAACCATTCACAACATGCCAGAACTAAACAACAAGATGTTTACTATAGCGATGAAGATATGTGCACAGATTCAGTGGGTAGCTCAGATGTATACTTGAAGGTGAAGTCTCCTAAGAAGCAAAGAGTTACTGGAAGATTTGCATGTAATAATGTTAGTCCGTTTTCTGAAGAAAAACGTGTCAACAAATGCCTCATAGATGTACCCGATTACAACCTTGTGGGAGTTGATGGAGGTTACCAAGACGCGTTTTGAATGAAGTGGAGGACAAAACACGCTATTCAACAACTGGTGGTTTGGAATGGATGCTACAGTGGTAAAACTATATATATATATATATGTACTATATATATACTATATACTATATATATATAGTATTTGTGAAGTGTTTTTTTATGTACTATAAGTCTCAAAACATATTCCGAAAATGTCTGTGATATATTTCTTTTTGTGTTCAAATAGTATCCTAATCGTATGTACAATAAGTAGTTATTATGCAGTTGAACATACATAGTTAAAAACTCCAATTTTCTTTTTTTTTTTTGGCTGCGTTTAAAGTGGAAACTGAACTTTAAAGAATGCCGACTGTATCAAATCTTTTCTTACGCCACGTACGTTCTCGTTGGTTGCAGGTCTCCTTATGCACGTGACATGTATCTCGTAACAATGTTACGTGATAATATCAACTTCATTTAGAAAAAGATAGATCCATGCATTGAATCTTGTCAGTTGAAACATCAATCACGTCACACGACATAAATTGGACTTTTTGGAAGGGTGAAATCTTGCCTGAGAAATTGACAGCACGTAAGGCAGCGTCTAGACAAATTTGGCCCTTGTAGTTGGGCAAGGATGTGTTTCCAACACATGACAGAAAGTGTAGGACCCCTGGACAATTAATGACCCTAACCTTACATTTGAAATCTTGAAAAGATTTCTTGAGTCCACCTTAGGACGAAGTGGCACATTTGTAGCTATTTTTGATGCCCACTGTATTCTCAGTCCTATTCAAACTGCGACTATCAATCTAGCTATTATCATCTATTATACAACACATGAATGTGTAGTATGGTCACGTTTACTTCAGCTCCATTCGTATGCTATCATTTGTGGGTTTTTGATTGACTTTTGAAGTGTTTGAGATACATTAGACAGCTGCACAGATTACTAGATTTACAACATTGGACTTTCACAATAATGCTGTAAATTATCTAATGCATATTTATGTTAGCTGTCCTACTGAAAAATAATTGTAACATCAAAGTGTGTATTGACGTAAAGCAGCATTTAAATATATTATTTTAATTCGATTACAGGAATTACTCACTCAGTTAAAGCACAATATTATTTATGGACCATTTGTTGGAAAATTTTGTGCAGATATAATGGAAACTAAATTCGTAGTATCCAATGGGAAATGTTGTTATTGAAATCTGCATTAGCTCTCCGCTAAGGGGTCTAACAGACGATATAAACTAGATTAATATTTTAGTAAATGATATAGTATTGATAGAGAAAAATGAAATGTACGTGCTTTTGCTGATACATAATTCATGTACCTAAAGATTATAATATTGACGTCTTTATTAACTGGAGTATATGATTTTGGAGGACGTATTTGCCAGATATGACAACAATTATCACAGAGATACAGTCACAGAAATTTTAAGGTGCAAACCAGTAATGTATATAATTAAACACTAGTAAAGGGTGTCCCAAAATTAACGCAAGATTTGAATTAAATAGAAAATGCCATTTTTAGTCTTTTAATAGTTATATTTTTATTGACTCATAAAGTACATAGGATAGGGTTATGTATGGAATAACACATCGGACAAATGGCCTCCACGGCTTTGCATGCACATGCGCACTCTTTTGTCGAAATTTTCCATGACCCTTCTGCATAAATGTGGCTGAATTTCGTTGATGCAGCGTTGAATCTCCTCCTTTAATGCACGGGTGGTTGTGGGCTTGTTGACATAGACTTGTGATTTCAAATAACCCCATAAAAAGAAGTCTAATGGTGTTAAATCACACGATCTAGGAGGCCAATTTTGATCACCGAAACGAGAGAGTACACGACCGGGAAATGTCTCATGCAGTAATTGAATTGTTTCACGGGCTGTATGACATGTGGCACCGTCTTGTTGAAACCACATATTGGGTACATCAATATCATTCAATTTTGGCAGAAAGAACTGTGTAATCATGTCGCGATATCGAGCACCAGTAACAGTCACTGCTTGACCAGCATCATTTTCAAAAAAATATGGCCCAATTATGCCTCCAGCCCAAAATCCACACCAGACAGTCACGCGTTGTGGGTGCATTTCTTTTTCGACAATCACACGTGGGTTCTCCGAACCCCAAATGCGGCAATTTTGGCGATTGACAAAGCCATCAAGATGAAAATGTGCTTCATCGCTTAGGATGATTTTGCTTGAAAAATCAGGGTCCATTTGTTGATGTTCAATAATCCATTCAACAAACTCTCTTCTCTCTGCATGGTCATTAAGCTTCAATTGTTGTGTTAATTGAAGTTTGTAAGCATGAAGACACAGATCTTTGGTGAGTATACGCTGTAGAGAGGTTCTTGACATTTGCAATTCTTGTCCACGACGTCGAATTGAGGTTCCTGGATTGTCCGCAACACTCTCACGCACTGCTTCGATATTCACATTTGAACGGCTTGTTTTTGGACGACCAGTGTGTTTGGCGTCTCCAACGGATCCAGTCTCCATGAATTTTTCAATTAATCTCTTCACAGTTGACGAAGTTAAAACACTATTCCGGCCATATTTTGTATGAAATTTTCGAACTGCAGCCGCCAAGCTTTCACTATTTTTGAAATATTCTTTAATAATGAAGACACGTTGTTCTATCGTGTAACGCTCCATTTTTCATAACCAACACTTCACTGCACAAATGGCGGCAAATTCAAATCTTGCGTTAATTTTGGGACACCCTTTAGAGATTATTGGAGATTTAGTCAAAAGGAACTAAATGTGCAGTTTGACAACGCATCCATTTTAAAAAAATATTCTGATTCAGTCTTATTGTATAATTTTTTTTCAAAAAGGACCCATATTAAGAATCTAAATGTTGCTAGGCCAAAAACTGTATCAAAAATTGTTTAAAAATGTTTCTAAATATACCCCAAAAATTGTTTTTTGCTCCCAGAAAAAGCTTTTTTAGAGATGGCGACTCCTACAAACAGCATTCTCTGTTGTGCTCAAACAGAGTATAATATTGAGCTCGCTTTATTAACAATTGAAGAAACAATGACTTACAATAATAATACCCCTTACAATTCTTTGAGATTTTGTCTGGAAACACTAACATTTTCCTTTTTCATATTGTTATTCGGCGTATTGTGTACTTTTCAAATAATTAGTCAATTACATCTCGAAAATTGTTAACTTCGCTCCATAGGGAATGAGCTCACAAACCTAAAAGCTCTTTATCCGGAGCGAATGTAAAATATTTTTGGCCAGTTGTTAAAGGAATGAAGATACTTCCAGGACCAATAGTTCGCATTGCAATCGCGAAAGACTTGAAAGTATAGGTTGATGTTTTTAATTTCTACACATTTTATGATACTTGTTATTTCCGTTCCACCAACGGAACTTGGTAGAATTTCAAGAGCAGGCTACAGCAACAAAAATACCGTATATAATTTTTTAGGATTCCGTCTAGTAGCGGAAGGGTAGTTTTTTACTAAAAGCTGATATTGCTTTTGCACCCTTTATAAATTAGAAAATGCTGCTCGAAAATCAAGCACTAGGCTACTATTACGTTCTACTCTTATCAAGAATTCTGGTAATACTCGATATCGTTTGAAATGAAAATCTGGAGGTTTGATGATACCCAAGAGAAGTAGGTAGGTCTGGTCTACAGATTGCTGACTAAAGAGGACTTTGGTGCAAGGTTGTCAGTGACTCTCAGGAGCTACAGTATCGCAGGTGCCAGGCTATAGAGATCTTCTGTGTAATATTTGGGTACCGTGACACATTGGGATGATATGGAGAGACCATTCGCGAGAGCCAAATCAAAAGGCAGGTTTGTTAGATCTGAGAGAGCCTAAGGTGCGCATGTGCATAATTAAGAGGACAAACGAGGAGTAGATTTCATGGAACGTCAAGCATGACAGCTCATTTTAGGGTTTAGTGCCAAGAGTGGAGGTGTTCCCGGTGCGTGTACTGACACTCAGCGCTGTCTGGACCTGCAGTATGCTTTGGTAGACTATGTTCAGTCAGTTATTGCCAGTTCATTCAATTGACATTCAATAACTGAGATACACACTGCGTTTAGATGACACATATATGTGGTGGAGTACTTGATATTCCTTGTAAGCAAGCTTCAGGGGGAGAATCCTACACAATAGGTACTATAGGCAGAAAGAAGTTTTTTATCCTTTGTTAGTAGTAGCAGACCTTTATTAATAGAATTAATCCAATTTACAAAGATCTCCTAAAGCTAAAAAAGATATCATGCAAGTTAACTATAATAAATTGAAAACATCATTTCTATATGAAAAAAAAATAAATGATCATTTTAAAAATTTACGCTTGATATCTGTGGTTTACACAGAATCGAGAACGTATAATACCAACTTCCGGACCAATTCTAAAGCAACTTTACAGCCAGTGATAGTTGGCTGCATAGATGTAAGAAACGACACAACGACAAGGATAAGTCCGCTGCATTAAAATTTGGAGAACATTTTATAGAATAATGAAGCAGTATGGTTCAAATCCAGAACAAATTTGCAACTTCGACGAAACGGGCATAAACTATAAAATGTTACCGTCGAAAAGTTTAGCTTCAAAACAAGAATCTGGAGCTCCTGGTTACTAACGCAATAAAGAACGTGTGACTATCCTTGCTTGTAGCAATGCTTCCGGTACACACAAACTGCCTTTGTTGTTAATCGTTAAATTAGCTAAACCAAGAGCATTTAAACACATCGGTCCCAACGCTCTTCCAGTGTGGCATAAAAATAAAAAAAAATGCTTGGATGGATGCCGTTCTATTTAAGGACTCGTTTTACAATCATTTTGTTCCCAAGACAGAACGATATTTGAATGAACGCTGATATCCGAGAAATTGTATTTTGCTATTACATAATGCTCCGAGCTACTCAAGTGAGGAGCAACTTAAAAGTGGAGAAATACGAGTGCTGTTTTTGCCTCCTAATGTAACGTCACTAATTCAGCCATTAGATCGAGGAGTTTTACAAAATTTAAAACGCAATCACAGATGTTTCTTATTTGAGCAAATTTTAGATCAAGTTGATAATGATTGCAGCCTCGTTGATTGTTTAAAAGAGATTCACCTCAAGAATGTAGCGTATTGGATAGCAGAAGCATGGAGCCAAGTAAAAAATTCTACTTTACAAGAATGTCGGTCGACAATAATTAAGCAAGAAATGGAACCTTGTGCAGACTATGAGAATAACAACGAAAATTAACATGAGCTCATAAAAATAGTGAGACGTGAAAATGTTACCCAAGCCGATGTTGTTG